ATGATTAGTGACTTTGAGCATGTTTTCATATGTCTCTTGGCTTTCTGAATGTCCTCTTTTGAAAGGTGTCTATTTAGGTCCTTTGCCCATTTTTTGATTGGATTGTTTATCTTCCTTTTGTTAAGTTGTGTGAGTTCCCTATAAATTTTGGAGATTAGGCCCTTATCAGATATTAAAGGCTTAATTGTACTGAAGGATCTATTATAAAAATGGCACAAATACAAATAAAAATGGCCGAGGAGTTGGGGCTGGCTTTTGGCAGGTGGACTCCCCTCAGGGTTTCTTGAGAGTCTTCACAGCTTGGGGCTGGGTTCTCTCAGGGCAAGTGATCCAAGAGACCAAAGCTGAGACTGTGAGGCCTTTTGTGACCTAGCCTGGGAAGTCACACACCGTTATTTCTGTTGGACTCTCTTGGCCATGCAGGTCTGCCCTGGTTTGCTGTGGGGGATACTAGCACAAGGATGTGAACAAATGATGGGGAAGAGGATGGGATCCATCTTGAAGGGAGGTTACTATTACATCACTCTTTCTCACTTATGTGTCATTTCTCTGGGAAGCTTTCCTTCATTTTCGTTTCTAAATTATATAAATGTCCTTCCTTATACTCCTCTGTGTATATATGTGTGTGTGTGTACATATGGCATATATACATTATGTGTATGCATATACATATAGATTACCTACATATGTTGATATATCATATATAATATACACATACATATACAATGCACATGTGTCCATTTTTAAATGTATACTTTTATATATACAAAAGCCTAAGTGACCGAACAACTGAATGACTGGTCAACTATTCGCTATGATGCTCACTGACCACCATGGGGCAGATGCTCAATGCAATAGCTGCCCTATGGTGGTCAGTACATTCCGAAGCAGGAGCACCACTCAGCTGACTTCAGGCACCAGACACAGGGCTCATGGCTGGCTGCTGCAGCCCGGAGACTGCAGTGGATTGGCAGTGAGCCTACCAAGGGGCGGCGGCCAGTGCAGTGGGGCTGAGATGAGCAGGAGCGGCACGCGGCATTGGACTTTCAGTTTTGGCCCAATCCCCACAGGCTACACCCAGGGACCCCACCAGTGCACGAACCTGTGCACCGGGCCTCTAGTTGTATTATAAATACCTGTTATGTGTCTGAGCACTTTGTGCACAGGGATCTGTCTTATGATCATAGTACTTCAGGTATTGCTCACAGATTAATGAAGAAAGAGGGAGGGAAGAAGACAGGGAGGTATAGGAAGGAAGGAGCAATTGTGAGTAATTAGATTTGGTTGTCACAGGGCTCTATGACACATAAGAGTTCCATTTCTGTTAATTAGCAGATGGTTAACAAAGAATAATATCTTCTCAGGGGCAGCTGGGAAAGAGCAGGGAGAGTTAGAAGAGCTTCAGTCGACAACAACACAAATGTTAAGGAATGTGTGTGAACTCTGGCATTACTCTATTTGCACAGCTCCGACAATCATGTTCAGTCATATTTGGCTCTAATTTTCTTTTCTGTTCTCAATTTGATATTTTACTGACATACTCTGCCTTGCAAACAGGGGAGATGGAAATTACAAAAAAGACTGTGGTCTTGGAGATGGCAGAGGGCAAAAGTTCCCAGTACTACAAAATTCCTAGAATGTTTCATGGATTCTTTTAGTTCCAATCTTCCAATGCTGGGAGATCCACATGGACCAAAGATATTGGATTTTTTTTCTTATAACAAGATTCTCCACGGAAAGAGAGTTGTACACATAAAGATATTAATGATGCTTCATCTTTTTAATGACACCACTGTTACCTGTACTAGAAGTGGCTTCTTCGGCTTTGCCAACAAAATTCTTACCTTGATTCCCTGTAATCATTGGTCTGTGCTGGTCTCTCCCCAGAGCTATAAAGGAGTCATGTGATATTTATCTTTATGTACACATCATGCTGTCTGATACAACGTACATACACCTTACGTATAAGCTGAATGGGTTAAATCTCTTATTCAAAACAATCCTATTCAAGATTTCACCTGGGCAGAGTCCTCCCTATCAAACATACCGCTTAATTGAAATATGTAGAAACAGTGAGCTGATCCTTATTCATCAGCCATAATGACAATAAAATATAATGAAATCAATTTAACAGTCTCCCACGTGTACATTGCATATGCAGCATTCTTCGGCATCATCTGGCAATTATGCTCTGCCTACAAGTCCCTCTGCTTCAGAAGAGACCTGATTCTGCCTTCAGAATTTGGGAGCCCAAGACGTCTTGTCTTTTGAGTTTAGTGTCAGGTGAAGCACAAGCCTGACTCTGGCCTTCATTTCCTAGGTTTCACACGCTGTGTAAAGCAGTAATTAATACTGCGTCTGTCTTCTAAGAGATAGTAGCAGGATTCCTCTGCAATGCCTGGAGACTGGACAGAGGTTGCTGCAGTGGTCACTGCAGTGCACTGGCATGACTCCCCATGCCACCTGTTTTAGGACTGAATCATCAATTCCCCTACGTACTGCATGCTGGCAGCCAATAGCTCATGCTTGAGGCCCCTTCGGAGGTTGGCCTCCTCTTGAAGGGAGAGGCCTCGCCCAAGGTGTCCCCTGGTCAATAGGAAGGTATAAAAGTTGGTCCCTGGCACTGATTTGAGACAACTATGCAGAGCCATTTCTTTAAATTTCCTTCTTTAAAGAGCCATCTCTGCTGCAGAGCTCACAGTAGGACCAACTGGGCCTCTGATATGACTGCTTGGCCGTTTGACTTCTCCCTCTGCCCCATTCTTCTTCCTTCATTCCCTCATGTGTTGACCTTGAGAGTACTCCCCCATAAATCTCATTGTCTGCTTCCTGGTGAACATGGCCTATAAAAATCTCTATATTTAGATTATTGTTATGGGATAATGCATGAAAATTATCAATATAATGCTTTGTTTCTAAGTTTATGTATTTTAGTATATAAAAGTAGCTTTAGTCAAGAATTTGGGGTAACATAAGCATAACCCTAACTGAACAATAGAAATCTAATTCACTTGTGTTAGTATTTCTCGCACTTGCCTAAAACTCAGAAGTAAAACTTCGGATTGAAGGTATTCTCAGTTTTAGATCTCAGTAGTTGTGGTATAAGTGTGGATTATTTTCAGTGGGTTAGAACTCAGAGAATTTCATTCTCTTTTACCTGTAGCAGCTATGATAAGAAAGGGAAAATGAAACTCTACTTTCATCTCTCTGAAGAAAACTTCTTAATAAAGCAATGTGTACAGATTTCAAGAGGTTTTAAAAATCATTTATCTTAATAGCACATATATTGAAATAGTAGTGAGCTATTTTTTTGTAATATCTAATTCTCTACTATAGTAGTGACAGATATACATCAAGTGGCTAATACAAGGTTACCTACTTTATTTGTTGCATACTTTACTCCCCTAATACAGAATTTAATAATTAAGGCATAAAAATCTTTCTAATCATTTTAAAACATCAGCATGCATCTACTGGTTGATAATGTAGTGCCAAAAGTAAAATTTAAAAAATACATGTAATTTGTAAAAACATTGGGGTATATAAACTCAAGATAGGTATAAATCATTCCCAAAGGCTTTTGTTAAATGTATCCGTGGTTAACAAGATCAGAGAGGGGATTGCCATGTTCTTTAACCATTTGACAACATGATACCTGAAGCCATACAATGAATATTTATATAGTGCAGTACAGCGTGTAAAATTTACATGAACGTTTAAGATAGGACATGAGATCAAAGAAATCCCTACCATGAACTAGTTTTCCTAATCTTAGATTAAGCTTTTCCCTCTTCCATCTCACATTCTTTGCTGCACATCAGTAGTAAATTCTAAGAAAAATCACTATGCATATTTGATTCAGTATTATAGATTTGGCCTTTGCCTTAGAGGTTGCTATGGTTTATTTATTCAACCACTATATATTGCTAACCTACTAAGTGTAGCTTTGTGTAAAGCAGGTTTCCTCTTCTCTGCCGAAGTCCAATACCATATAAGGCTGCTTCCCTTCAACCTCAGTTGTCCATGCCCCACTTTAAGCCTTTAAGGAAGCAGGACTGCCCTCGAAATCACCCACATGGAGGGAGCTATGACGTTTCAGACTGACCTGCAACTCAGAGGTGAGCCATGGTGAGTGCTGAGGTCCAGCTCCTCAGATAAACAGCAAGCTGTCTTCCCCTAATTAGGCATCTTTCCAGGTGCTCTCTGGGCAAACAAAGGAGATCTGATGTGGATAAGGTGAGAAACAGTGTAAAAAGCAACTTGAAATAGTCAGAGGAGTCTGAGTTTCCCCACCCTCCACCCCTCTTGCGGTCCAAAGGTTACATATTTTTCTGACATTTCTGCATTCAGCTTTCTTGCTCAGCAAGCTTTGCAGAACCCGAGGGGTTTACATTACCCAGATGAGTGTGGATGAAATCAAAGTTCCATCCACTGTTGTGGGTGGGCTGGGGCAAGGGAATGAAAATGTTTGCTAAATATGGACGGGCCATGTAATGCTCACTAACCACAACAATGTGTTTTTGGAACACTAAATTTGGAAAGACAAGTATTTCCCCCCTAACCAGCTTTGCTCACCATTGAATTAGACAGAACTGAAAACACTGGAGAGCAGCGTCTTATTTGAAGTCTTTTTAATGGCAAGGTTTACATTGGACCAAGGGGAGCAATAATTATGCGTGTGAACAGTTGTCAAAAGGAAGTCATTATCAATCTCCATTTTAAAAATAGCCAACAAATTTTCATTACAGCAAGCAATAGATTCTTATTTGATATAATTTCCCTCACTCCCCACCAATACATGATGTGCCCAGTGGTGTGTGTTGTCATTTAAATTTTAACAGAAGTCTACTGACTTCAGGTGGCTGTGAGACTGCCATATTTGTGGTTTCAATTTAATGAAATGCCTAAGTTAGGGAATCAATTATTTTCCTTGATATTATTATTACTTGCATGGAAGAAGAATCCACAGACTATGGCTTTCTACCTAAGACTATCCGCCTGGTGTAATCCTTTTGGAAGGCTTAAGATCTCCCTTAAGAGGTAACACCTTCACCCACGTTTTTAGTTAATTATCATTCAGAATTTTTTTTCTTTTTATAATTTTCATTTTTCCAAATTTAGAGAAAAGAACTTCCTGGTCCTCTCATGTTTTGTCTTATTTATATGTTCCCCCCCCACCACCCCTTTTGTTGATCATACTGTTTTTTATCTCTGCTCTTTTATTGAGTAATCCTATTGATGATGGCCTTCTGATTCGTTTAACATCATTTTCTAAACTTTGTCTTTGTAATGAGGATTGTAAACAGCAGCACCAGTGAAATGCATTCAAGGCAGCCAATGCCACAGTTGGGAATAAACAGCTGAATGCTTTCGGAGTGCTCTGCAGACCTGCACTTGACCTTCCTAAACCCCAAAGGGAAGCTCTCATGTGGCTCTGATGAAGATCTCAATCCTCATCTTGGCTGGCTAAGAGACTAAAAATACCCCTGCTCCCTTGTAATTCATAAAATCTTACAGTAAGATACTTCAAGGATAGCTCAGAGAAGTTACTGCTGTAATAACTTTATCTTTCAGTTTGATTCAACGTCTCTGAAAAATATTCTAATTTTAAACAAGGAAGTAAGGTAAAGCTCCATATTATTGTGTTTATTGACCCATTTGTTTCCTTGTTAGTGAATGTAAAATAATGTATACCTTTCACCTAAGGAATGCATCAACTTATTTACATAAAGCCTTCCAAAGCCTCCCTGAGACTGCTTTGGTACTTTCCCAGATTTTTTTTTTTTAAATTCTTTATTGTTTAAAGTATTACAAGTTTCCATGCCCCCCATTGACTTCTCCCCGGCCGCCCCCGCCCCCCATTGCATGCCCTCACCTCCCTACTGTCTGTGTCCATTGGTTATGCTCATATCCATGCATACAAGTCCTTTAGTTGATCTCTTACTCCCTCAACTCCCCACCCCCGTCTTCCCTCATAGGTTCGACAGTCTATTCGATGCTTCTATGACTCTGGTTCTATTTTTGCTCATCAGTTTATGTTGTTCATAATATTCCACAAATGAGTGAGATCATGTGATATTTATATTTCTCCAACTGGCTTATCTTGCTTAGCATAATGCTCTCCAGTTCCATCCATGCTGTTGCAAATGGTAAGAATCCCTTCCTTTTTACAGCAGTGTAGTATTCCATTGCGTAGATATACCACAGTTTTCTAATGCATTCATTTGCTGATGGGCACTTAGGCTGTTTCCAAATCTTAGCTATTCTAAATTGTGCTGCTGTGAACATAGGGGTGCATATATTCTTTCTGATTGGTGTTTCTGTTTTCTTGGGACATATTCCTAGAAGTGGGATTACTGGGTCAAATGGAAGTTCCATTTTTAATTTTTGAAGAAGTGCCGAAATTAAAATCCAAACCCTGTTTACTCCTCTCCATTCTCATCTCTCACTACTATCCCACCTTAAAATCTAGTGACAATTACTTGGAGTTCCCCAAATTTGCCTCTTACCTCTGAGTCTTTGCACCTGCTGCTTCTCCTGCCTAAAATGTTCCTCTTGCTCATTGCCTGGCTACCTCCAACTCATCATTCAAGAGTTTATTTAAATGGTACCTTTTCCAAGAGGCCCTATAATATGCTAAACTTTTGGCTAAGAGAATGAAGGAGGCCAAAGAAAGATGCCAGGAACAGACTGCCAAGAGATGTAGGCTGTCCTCTCTGAAAGCTCCTACCTAAATCTGAGTCCAATCAAAAATGAGATTTTCTAAGAGTAGAAAATAAATGTGAACAGACTTTGAAGCACAAAACAAAATATTTGCTATCATGATCATTGTCCACATTTTGATCATCACTGTTGCACAATGATGTTCAGAGATATATGTGTGATTGTAATCTAGAAATGGGCTAATAAATTGGGACCTGGAGCTCAAGAGCATGCAGAAGACAATATATGATCAAAATTTATCAGAACTTGGCTAAAGATTGCCAAATTATCCTACAGGCATGCTCTCCTAGGAACCCAATCACAGTGGGTGTTTCAAAGGCCCTCTGAAGATGGGACAATCCTATCAAATGTCTCTAAACATGGCTCATAAATGGGTAAATATTGTCACTTTTTTCCCCATCAAGGATGGCACTTCTTTCTGGTAATAATTACATATCATTAAGACACTTTTTATACTTTTCTTTCCCATGCAGTGGTCGGGGCCTGAGGAAACAAAGAGGAGGAGAAAATGCCTCTAAATAGCTTCTTAAAATTTCTTTTTGCCATCATGCTGATTTCTGTATCCTGAGGTTTTCACTCCCACACATTCTGATGATGGGTAAATTATACTAGCAATAACTTAGAGCAGTGTTTTGAACTTGAATAGTAATCTGTACCTTGTTTTCTTCTTCATGTACTTCTAAAAGCCACAAGAAACCTGTAAGCAATACTTTTTAATTTTTTTGAGGGATTGAAAAATGTTATTTAAAAATCTACTGAAAACTGTGGAGTATGTCCCCAGAAAAAAGAATGGTCCCATATAAAGAGAAAATGTTATACACAATTTCATGGGGTTCAAGGACCCTGGAAGCTTAGTAACTCCAGGTTAAACATCTCTGTTGTAAGGACAAATAAACCCTTGGCCAACCTGGAACTATAGAAATAATGCAATGTAGGTGAGCAAGGTCTCTGATCCCTAGCACAAATGTCTGTTTATGCAAAAAGCAGAAAGAAATGCATTTATTTTTGAATTGTTGATAGAAGTTGAGTAACTATCTGTTTTTTCCCTTTATTTATGTTTTTATGGTATAGCATCCTTATTAAAAATGCTATGGATCTTAAATAGAGAGTACAATTACTTCACCATTTCCATTTCAGAAATATATTGTAAGGAAATAATCATATAAGGTATAACAATTATTTAATTTATTTGATGATAGAAAACTGGAAAAACAATCTCATAATAGGGGGCTGGATAAGTACGTTATTCATATAATAAAATTTATAGGGCTATCAAAAATGACATTTTTAAAGACCATTTAATGATGTGGAAAAGCCCATGTACTAGTAATACTAAGTAACTTATATAAGCTATAACATTATATCAAGAGAATCATTCCAATTTTGTTTTATATATATGACTTTTACACAACACACACATATACATACATATATATATATACATACACATAGAAACTGAAAGGAAATATCTTAATATGTTCAAGTATTTATCTCTGAGAATATTTCTTTATATTTTTTCTTTATATATTTTAAAGTATTCAAAAAATTTACAACAAATATGGTTTGTTTGTTTTTTGAAACAAATAAAAATTACCATTAATTACATGGGTTTTCATATTTGGGTCAAATTGGAAAAAGACACCTGTTTAAATATGAGCTCACTTAGTCCTCGTACATATTTTGGCAAACAAAGATTGCCAAGTATTTTTGTTACTTTCAAATTATTGTTAATCAATTTCTCTAATTTCAACCTCTATAAATGCAATACTTCCCCTTCTCTAGAATTGTATAAAATTATTTTTTTCAAGATAAGCTTTTTATTTTTTTATATCTATTCCCCTACCCCCATTCCCTTTGACAACCATCAGCTTGTTCTCTATACACATGAGTCTGTTTCTGTTTCATTTTCTTAGTTCACTTGTTTTGTTTTTTTTAGATTCTACATACAAATGAAATCATACAGTATTTATCTTTCTCTTCTTGATTTATTCCACTTAGCATCATACCCTCTAGGTTCCTCCATATTGTCACAAATGGCAAGATTTTGTTCCTTTCTTTTTAAAATATATTTTATTGATTTTTTATGGAGAGGAAGGGAGAGGGATAGAGAGTTAGAAACATCGATGAGAGAGAAACATCGATCAGCTATGTTCTGCACACCTCCTACTGGGGATGTGCCCGCAACCAAGGTACATGCCCTTGACCAGAATCGAACCTGGGACCTTTCAGTCTGCAGGCCAACGCTATCCACTGAGCCAAACCAGTTAGGGCAAGATTTTGTTTTTCTTAATTGCAGAATAATATTTCATTGTATGTATGTACCACATCTTCTTTATCCATTTATCTATTGATGGACACCTAAGTTGCTTTCATATCTTGGCTCATTGATATTATAATTTAAATTTAAATTATAATTTAAAGCTACACTGAACATATATTCTTTCAAATTAGTGTTTTTGTTTTCTTCAGATTAATAGTTAAAAGTGGAATTGCTGGAGTATATGGTAGTTTATTTTTAAATTTTTTTTTGAGAAATCTCCATACCGTTTTCCATAGCAGCTGCACCAATTTACAATCTTACCAATGGTATAAGGAGGGTTCCCCTTTCTCCACATCCTCACCAACACTGGTTGTTTGTTGATTTATTGATGATAGCAATTCTAACAGGTATGAGGTGATAGCTCACTGTGGTTTTGATTTGCATTTCCCTTATGATTAGTGATATTAAGCATCTTTTCTTATGTCTGTTGGCCATCTGTATGTCCTTAGAGAAATGTCTACTCATGTTCTCTACCCATTTTTTTTTCCATTGGATAGTTTTGGGTGTTTTATTTTTATGTCAAGCTGTGTGGGTTCCTTATATATTTTGAATATCAATCCCTTATCATTTGCAAATATCTTCTCCCATTCAGTAAGTTGTCTTTTCATTTTGTTAATGGTTCCCTTTGCTTGCAGTAAACTAAGTTTTTAAACAAAGTCGTTTTTATAAACTGGTTTTGGAAAGATTATTTATATTTAAAAATAATTTATACTAGTTTGCCACAAGATATTTTAAGTAATACAAGATAATATGTATGAAAATCTGTACAATGAGTCCTCCACATTGAAGCATTTTTGAAATAAAAGGATGAAATGGATCTCAAATTTTGATACTCATGACTGCTGGATTGCTGAGTATTTGTACAGCCTCTTTTTCCTTGATATAGGCATGATAGTTTTTATGGAAGAGAGAGCTTGTCATATGTATTTAAAGACTAGGAGGTTGTGAGACCACAAAAGCACACCATTTTTTTAATGAAGGAGGAATATTAATGCCTGGCAGAACAAAACTTAATAGCTTTTAATGGAAGATAATATAATCAGACTCACTATAATGTATTATCTAAAACGCTTTGCATAAAATGAAAAATTATTAGATATATGAAGAAATGGAAAAATGTAAACAATAATCATAAAATAAAGCAGCCAAGAGAAACAGATATCAGATGATTCAAATGTTGGAATTAACAGGTACAGATTTTATATTTAAGAATTTAAAAGAAAAGATGTAAATAGGAAATATACACTGGGAAATCACATCAGAAAAAAATGGAAACTATAAAAAGAACCAAATGAAATTTTAGAACTAACAAGTACACTATGAAGTTTAAAAATTGATTAGATCACATTAATATCAGATTAGTAACTGGAAAATAAAAGGTTAGTGAACTTCATGATAAAAAAAATAGTAATATCAAATTCAAAGAAAAGAAGGTAGAAATACTTTTTTAAAAAAGAATACATTGTTAGTGACCAATTGGACCATATCACTTTTTCTAATAACAGTGTAATTGGAGTCACAGAAGTGGAGAGATTGAATAAGGCAGAAAAATGTATCTGGAAAATTAATGACCTAAAGTTTCCCAAATTTGGTAAAAACAGAAACAACAAATCCATAAGTACATCATGGTAAATTGCTGAAAATAAAAAATAAAATAAAAATGAGGCAGAGCTATTCACTAATTTTAGTTTTCCAAACTTAAATATCTCTATTCACAATTCTCTATTTTTAAAATTACTTCAGGGAGCCTGTATGAGTGAGTCTTGATGAACATGATCATTTAAGCAATAAGAAAAGGAACAAAACCTGAACTCAAATAAAAACTTGACAGTCTTCATTTCCAGTATCCCATATACCACCCCATTTTAGAAAGTAAGAAGACCATTTCACTCTTCTTTTTAGGACATAAGATGACTTTTCACTTCAAAGAAAAAATTGTTTTGTGGGTTGGCTGTTTTTCCCTATAAAGTTTTTCATCCTTTGGTTGATATCGGTCCAAATACTGCCTCTACCCCCTCCGGACCATATGCTCCACACAAATAGGAGATATTTTTTCTTTCCTTTTTAGGGACATATTTATAGGACCTAGAAGAGTAGGTCCTGGTACACCGTAGGTATCCAATGAGTAAATGAAAGTAAATGAAAGAATGAGATCAAAATGAAGCCAAATGTTTCCATGGTGTTGGTTTACATTATATTTGGTAGTTGTTGTTGTTAACAAGCTAGAAATAATGTTTTTAGTGTTCCCCTAGATATTCTAATGAACATCTTAATGCGCCTGTACTAAATGATAAACCTACTAGACCAAGGTCAGAATTTTAAAGAGGTTAGTGACTGTTGTTGCATTCATTATTCACTTAGGTACTGTTTCACTTTGAGAAAAAGAAAAAAGGACAATCAAGTCCCCAGATTCTATTGGTTCCTCTAATTTAGTGTTCTTGCTGGGACAGTTTTTCCATAATTTATATTTTATTTTATGTAATGTAATTTAGAAGGTGACTTATTGTATCCCAGTTCTCTAACATTCCTAATGGTGCACCAATAGTTACGTTCATTGCTTCAAAATTCAATGCATTATATTATCAATCAAAGTCTCTCCAGGATAGCACAACCACTTTATGACTTTCAACAAAGTGAATTTAATTCAGGGAAATTACTGTGTAGGTCCGTGGTTGGCGAACCGCAGCTCGCAAGCCACATGCGGCTCTTTGGCCCCTTCAGTGTGGCTCTTCCACAAAATACCACATGCTGGCGCACATTTACAGTGTGATTGAAACTTCATGGCCCATGCACACAAGTCAGAATTTTGTGGAAGAACCGGTATTTTGTGGAAGAGCCACACTGAAGGGGCCAAAGAGCCGCATGTGGCTCGCGAGCCGTGGTTTGCCGAGCCGCAGTTTGCCGACCACTGGCCAAGTTGGTCATCAGAAGACAAACTAAGACAAACCTGTCAAACAGTGAAATCAAGGATCTGGAGCTATAGAAGAGAAGCTATTACTGAGAAGCTGTCTAAGGTAGAAAAGCAGGAGAAGAAATCCCTGGCTTCTCTCTCCCACCCTCTCAAATCTCTTGGGCATGTCTTACTTTGTCAAAATTTAGCTAGAAGACAGCCGATCTGGGAAATTGGGAAACACAGACTGCAGGGACAAGGAATGGAGCCAACATACCCAAGCTTCCAGCCACAGTACCGATAGGAATATTGATTGTTTCCAAAGCATTTTCTCCGAGGTTCTATGTAGTATCAACTATGTGATGCCGTGTCTCAAAGGTCTCACAGTTCCAATTGTCTACTTTTTATTTTGGTAAACTTCACAGAACCATCTGATGGAGACCATTGGAAACTAGAAGGATCTTTTAAAAATGGAAACTACCCAATGCAGTTCTTGCTCACATCATCATGGATTTTTTAGGCATTTGATGGAAATAGGGCCAATAATATGACTTTTGAAATGTTCCCTTTCCCAAGTTTATAAGCTGCAGAAAGCTTATCTTCCTGCTAGAATTGGAAACTGTTGTGGTAGGATCTTAATCTGAAAAACATAATGAAAAGAAAATACCTCATGTTGTGAAAGCTATTTGAAACGTGAATTGCTATGGACTAACTCTAAAAGATTCCTTAAGATTCTGAAAATCAAGAAGACCAAAGAGGAACTAAATGCCTGAATCCTTGTCTCTGCTGTTGGGGACCATGCCATTGGATACTCCAGAAAATGAATATGTGTTGAAGTGGATGGAGTGTGTGATTAAATCCCTGAGTGGGGTGAGTATGACATAATAATGCTTGACAAGTGCTTGAAGAGTTTAAATCATAAGCAAGGGAGAAAATGGTTTCCTGCAGCTTAAGGGGTTAGAACTTGAAGTACCAAAATAGAGTTGGCAAATGGAAACATTTCAATGACTTTCTAGAAATATTTCCTAATGGAGTCACACATTAGGACAGTAGAATTGGTTTTCCAGAGGGAAGTGATTGGAGCAGAGGTTTCAGAAGTAAAGAAACTAAAAGGCATCTGAGAATACACCACAGGGAATACACCTTAGGAGTCTGCTATTATTAACTCTCTCCTTTGGTGCCAGCATTAGAAATGGCAATGGTACCTCTGCATAGTGCTAGTCAGTGAAGTCTAT